GTCCTTATTCCATCCATTTGACCCGAATAAGTCACACTGCTCTCTGAACCAGTCTCCTCACCTGGAGTGCAGGGTTTATATTTCTGCCTCAGCGCTGTTATGGGAGTTGAGTGAAACTGCGTCAGTACCCTTTGTGCACTGCCACATTCATGCATGGTACTAAATGCACTGTGTCCCTCCCCTCACAGTGGTAGTGGACTGGCTTTATGTGGCTCACCATCAGGTTTTTGGAACTTGTGCACCCTGGTGTGTGGAGTGTGGAGAAACCATGTCCAGTTGCACCACCACTAACAGCTGCATGGATGCGGGCATCACCCAGCTGTATGGGTGGGCTGCTTAGACTATGGAACATCTGGCTAGCTCCTGGCTATGTAGCTCTGGGCACAGTATCTTGTGTCTCTCAAAAGAGGGAAGTGGCCCTGGCCGGTGTGGCTCGTTGGTTGGAACATCGCCCCATACACCAAAGGCTGAGGTTTCTACCCCAGTCAGGGCACATGCCTAGTGGCAGGTGTGATCCCCAGTTGGAGTGTGATTGACGGGCAACTGATTAATCTCTCTCCCCTGCCCCCGCCATCTCCCTCCCTCCCTCTCCCCTCCCCTCTCACCTCCCTCCCTCCCTCCCTCCCTCCTTCTCTTTTCCTCTCTAAAATCAATAAATATGTCCTCAGGTGAGGGTTTAAAAAAAATAAGAGGAAAATGGATATGTCTACCTCACATAGTGAGGTTGTCATAAGGGTTAAATTAGTCCATTCTCACGAGCCTTATCACAATGCCTGGCACACAGTGAGTGCACAAGAGATGTTAGCTTAAGTAGGAGCTGCTGTTACAAATGATGACAAAATGGGGTTTCTTAATCATTGTCTTCTAATTACCCCAAGACTCCCTGCGGCAGTGCAGCCTCTCCCAGAATGGCACCCGTTTACCCAGTTGCCCAAGGCCCAGTGTGGAAAGCAAGCATCGTCTCTCCCTTCCTCTGCCCTCCCCACGTTCACTCCGCCCCAAGTCCTGTGGAAGCTACCTCCTGAGTCTCTCTTGAACCTGTCTACTTCTCGCCACCCCACTCCCTGCCCTCCTCCAGGCCACCGTCCACTGTCCCCAGACAGCACCACTGCCCCCTCAGGACCTCCTGGCCCCGACCTTGCTATTGGCAGGTTTGTTCCTCTACTGAAATGGCAGTGCTCTTACTCGCTTTCTGACTTTTTGATGTTAGGTCTGTAACATTTGAAACATAAAATTCCTGAATAGTATAATGAATGACAGGTACTAGTCATAATTCAGTACTATGTTTTTAAAAGAAAGAAAACATTAAAGATAGCGCCAAAGCCCCCTCCCAAAGTTCATCCCTCCTAGAAGTCAACATCCTGAATCTGCCCTTTATCACCCCTGCGCTTGACTTTCACCCTTGCTGTGCGTCCAGGTAGGCACCACAACACACCGCACGGGCCAGCTTCCAACCCGGACACAGACGTCAGACTCAGTTTTGCCCCACGCTTTGCTCTGGGGGCTTGCCGTCGTGCTCTGGGTGCTGGTGCCTGGGGCTCCGGTCCCAACGTTCTCGCTGCCGTCTGTAGCAGGTAGTATGTTGTATGATGGGTCACAATGCAGAGACCTGGTCGCCTAGTGATAGGCACTCTTTCCAGATTTTTGCTCTTTCAGACAAGGCCTCAATGCCCCTTCTAGTGCCCGCTTTGTGTCACCCAAAGAGAAGCGTTGCCCGGGTGAAGGACCTTTCCCCAGCACCCCAGCACAGGAAGCCAATTCAGAGGCCCTGCACAACCCAGCCCCTCGGGGCCTCTCTCTGCCTGGTGTTCTTGGTACGCTCAGTTTCATGCCTCAAGCCTACCAGATGTCTGGAAGAATCTACCTCCCTTTCTTTGCTACTCCTGCTCTTCCTGACTTACCTGGCTGATTCCTGTTCATGCCTGAAGTCCACCTAAACGTCATCTACCCGGAGGTTTCTCTGACCCCTGGGCCACATCAGCATCTCCCACCACCTTGCTGGTTGCTCCCCCATCCGTCCCCCTCTGGACGCTCATGCCTTTGGGTGCTTCGGTTTAATGACCACCTGCCTTCCCTACAGTGTGAGCTCCAACAGGGCGGGGCCGCCTCTGCCCATTCACGGCCACGGTGCCAAAGGCCTGGCTCAGCAGGCTGAGGGAATGAGTGAAAAAAATGGATGGAATGACACATCTTCATTTGTTCTTCCCACTAGCACTTTTTCCCTAAGTTTATGTTGGAATTTAATTTACATGAGTTTTGGCAATTGAGACATAGAGTAATTCCATCTTCTCCCCAGAATTCCCTCGTGCCCCTTTGAAGTCAACTCCTGCCCCTCACCCCAAGTAGCAACTGATCAGTTTTCTGTCCTTAGTGTTTCACCTTTTCCAGAATGTCGCCTACATGGTATCATACAAGACATAGCTGTTGAGACCATCACCAGCACTTCGGTCTTGTGCCAGGCATTGTGGGACAAATAGCAATAAATTATGAGGAGATTTATGTTGGATGTAGAGACCTTTATATAACAAATATATTTGATACAATTTAATAACTGTTCTTTTTCTTACCATCAAATTTAGATTGTGTTTCTTAGCAACAACTATACGGCAGGTATGCTCCTCACTACGGCCCTGTCTGCATTTTTCGAGCACAGAAGCCAGGGTGTCCCGAGAGGTCAAGAACGGTGTTCCAGTTACCAGAGCTGGCTCAGAGAGGCAGCTTCCACCCCCGAGTTCAGGGCCTTAGTGCCAGTCGCAGGACTACTCATTTATTTCTTTTCTTAATTATCTTTAAGTACATAGTGTAGAGCAAAGCCTTGTTCTTTCAAAAAAAAAAATATTGTTGTAATCAGAAGGTTTCATCTTTTCTGTTGACTAACGTTTCTTGTTCTGTGATGATGCTGAATCAGACAGGCAAGCACCTGTGCTCCCACACCAGGGACCCGCCACCTTGCCAGGGGCTGTGGGAGCTTGTTAATAGGCCCGGCCTTGCCATGCCAGTCCTGCCCCTGGAGCTGCGGTGCTACTGGAAATGGCTTTCTGAAGAATGACCCTCTTTCCAACATGATGTTCTGGGCATGTGGATTCCTGGTATCTCCAGTGAGCCTGTTTGCTGTTTAATTGGTCCGTGACTATCCAAAAGGGTGTCCCAGCCCTGATCAGTGGGGCTGTTGGTTGGAGCATTGTCCCACAATCCAAAAAAGTCACAGGTTTGATTCCTAACCAGGGCACATACCTAGGTTGCGGGTTCAATCCCCAGCCAGGGTGCATACAAAAAGTAACCAATCAGTGTTTCTCTCCCTTTCTCTCCTTCCCTTCACCTCTCTCTAAAATAAGTAAGCATGTCTTCAAGGGAGGATTGGGGGAAAATAACCAAAACATGGCCCAGATTCTGCTTTCTGTGACCTGAGACGATGGTGGCATCTGTGTGCACACATGTCTATTAGTGAGTAAGAGTCCCCCAAAAGCACACTAGGCTTCAAGTTGCCTGTTAGACAGACTCGGAGTGGAGGTGCAGGCACCAGCTGGCCCAGTGCACTGTAAGGCCCACGCCGGGTTTTGATCTTGAGGATTTGCCTTTGTCTGCAGCCACGATCTGGAGCACAGAGGGACGTTGGTCACATGTGGTGAGCGCCTCTGTTCTTTCAAGGGTTCTTTATGGCAAAAATGCATGTGAGCAGCTTGCTGAGAATTCCTGAAAGAAGGGAATGCACCGCCGCTTGAGTTATTCGGGGAGAGTTTGAGGGCAGCGGCACCGAGCGGTTTGTTAGCCAGGCAGCCATGATTTTGACCTTGCTGTAGGTTAAAGGACACAAACCTGAGAAGAAATCTGTTTATCATGTGGGAAATTCTTGCCATCCTTGACAGTATACAGTGAGCAAGATGGATGATCTGCCAAATTGGTCCCTCGCATGGGTGAATCAGGGCAAATTTACAGTACAATTCCTTTGCTGCTTCAGATACAAAAATAACATTTGCTGGGTTTTATATCCAGTTGTCTGATGACCTGGAGGTGAGAGAGAGAAGAAATCCGATTTGCAGGATCCACATTGCCTTAAAGATTTATACGGACCATTTCTGCTGTTGCGTCCGTCTCTCTCACATCTTTCACAAGCCAGTGTTGCTTCCTAACCTGGTTTTCCAGGTTGAGGACACAGGTTTATGCGCTGTTGGAACTCTGTTGCAGTCTGGGACAATAAATCGGTTTACCAATTGAATTGCAGTTGTTTTTCTGGGGGGATTTTATCTTTCTAAGTAGTATACAAAATATGCCTGATGTTTAGAATACATTCTTCATTCTTTTGGGTTCAAAATAGGTTGTTATCCTGCATATAATATATTTAGCAAAGGGAACTGTCATTATACGGCCAATTGTAGTTCCCTTATTATTTGGTGTTATGTTTTGTTTAATGAAGCAGTGAGTCTTTTGGGGACCACCTGTATGCGCCGATGTTCACTGAGTCCACTCTGGCGGCTGGGGGAGCCTTTGGGGGTCACAGTGGGAACCCTCCTGGGGTCCTGAGACTCAGCGCTGGGCTGCCAGGGTCCAGCTTGGAGCTTCAGGTCTCTTTGTCAAGGGTCATCACTGTGGTGACCACACATCATAGGCAGTGTTCATGTAAAATAACATGTCCATTTGTTTTGTCTGGGAAACTGGACAAATCGGTATGTGAGTCACAGTGTAGGCAAGGTGCTTCTGCATTAGAGAGCTGTGAGGCAGCGTTAGGGGAGATCACGACAGCAACAGCACAGGGTTGCTGCCACATTTCTAACTGTACTGAGTCCTCAGAAACTTTTTCTTTAAACCTGCAGTTCCTCTTCTATTGCTACTTTTTTTAATACCTCGGCCAAAAAACTATAAAACAATTCTCAAAGATTCATAGATTGCCATACTGTACTCCTCTTATACAGGACATTTATTTACTGTCCTAGGTGAGGAAAGTGGGTGTACATGGTGACATAAGGTTTTCAGCCTCAGTTTTCCGTGTGCCTTAATTACAGAAAGCACGCCAAAGACCTCTGCCAGCTGCAGCCCCGCGCCCGAATCACCAATGAGCTCCAGTGAATCGGTGAAGAGTTTGACTGAACTGGTCCAGCAGCCCTGTCCCGCCATTGAAACAAGTAAGGACGGCAAACCGCCAGAACCCAGCGACCCGCCTGCTTCAGACTCCCAGCCTACCACCCCGCTGCCTCTCTCCGGACACTCAGCCCTCAGCATTCAAGAGCTGGTAGCCATGTCTCCAGAGCTGGACACCTACGGAATAACCAAGAGGGTCAAGGAGGTGCTGACTGACAACAACCTTGGTAAGTTCTCTTCTGAACGGCCAAGTCCAGGGGTGGCAGGTCACATCCAGCTGGAGTTCTTAGGAAGAACAGGTGAAGGGGCCTCAGGCTGAGCCAGCAAAGGTTTTAAACATTCGTAGAACACTCCAGAGTCGTGGACACTCAGGATGCTACAATTCCACTGGTCGGTCCCAGCTGGCTCCTCACCACTGCACCAGTGCAGACGGTCACTCGAGCTACCTTGATTGGAGAATGCCCAGTAGGGCTCCAAATCCTTGTGGGCACCAGGGCTGGGCATGATCAGCCTCAGCCCAGCAGCATCTGGATGGCATGGTGGAAGAGTGTTACAGACTGGGTTCAAATTCTAACTCTTCTACTAGTGTCTGTCTGTGATGCTGAGCAGGCTGCTCTCTGAGCCCTCAGTAAAACTGGAGCAACAGTGCCCGCCGTGGGGTTGTGAGTAGCGGCAGTTTCTAGCACTCTGCCTGGCAGCTAATGGTCTGTTGCTGTCATCCCTCCTGCCTCATGAGGCGGGCTCAGGGCCCTGGGCCTCCCACTGGGTGTCACACCCAGGGTGCATTGCTCTGCCCAAGGGGGCTCTCGGGGAGGGCTCTGTGGCACCACTGATGAGTGTCCGCAGCTCTGAGATTGTTAGGGTGTTGAGTCATTTCAGACCACCCTGCTCCTGCAGGACAGTACTGACCAGGTAGGGTTCTCCTGGTTTGGGCATCCAGACAACAGAAATAGCCACTCCCCAAACACTTCTGACGTTCTTACTGCCCGGGTGTAGAAGTCAACTGAAAGAGCATTGTTCTCTGCAGTGCAGGTTAAGACGGCCCCCAGGAGTTCTCAGAATCTGCCGGGCACCGTCAGGAGGGGCCTTGTGTGCCCATCTTCCCCAGGGGGTGGGAAAGAAAGGAGAAGCGGTGACATGAGCTCTGGGAAATTTCAAAGAGTGACCTCACAGCCTGGGGGTCAGGCCGCTTGTCTGCTTGAGGCCTTCTACCTGACTGCTTGTGCAAAACAGAACGAGAGAGAAGGGATATCCACTGAGAACATTTTTAATTAGTTCATAAAAATAAAAACTTAGCTGTGGACTTAAAAATGGCCAAGTCCCGCCACATGTCCATTGATTACTAAGATGTGCGGGGTTCCTGGACTTGTGTCGCCCCCGCCTTACTTACACTCTTATGGCGAGTCCGCGGAAGCAGGTCCGGCGGAGTGCTGCTGCCCGCTCCCTTGTAGAACATAGCATAGCACATAAAGGTTGAACATCGGCTGAAGAAAACTCTGATTTTCAAACACTGATAAGTTGCAGGATCGCAGGTATGAGATTATGAACCTTAAAATCTCCTTGGCCTCCTACCCTTTCCCCCGTCGGCGATAGAGTCGTAGCTGACAAGGTTCACCCGCAGCCACGGCTTGTGGGACTTCGTTTTCAAACACTGTGAAGCATACACCGGTGCTCTGAGGGGCGAAACTTCTCATGCCACGCAGATAATGTAAGCCTCTGAGCAGTAACTTCCAGAAGGCTCCATGGCAGTGTCACCCTTGACCCAGAGATGAGAAGTGGTCTCTACGGTCGCTCTCACTGGTCTCAGCTTCTCCAGCAGAGGAGCTACCTCCCCTGTTGGAATCTCTTAATGAGTTAATAAATGTAGAGGGAGCCAGACTACAGCTGAATTGGGCAGCAAAGACGACCCTTAACTGAGAGTCAACTAAGACAGTCTCTTAACCTTTGGCCTGGGATCTTGGGGTATTCATTTGTCAATCTCTTGAAATCAAATGCAGAATGTGTAGTTTTCTTCCAGTTCTCAAATAGGTCCATGACCCAAAAACAATCAAGAGTCACTGCTCTGAAACCTCTAAAACTAATACAGATAATTTTGCATTTGAGCCCTGACCAGTATGGCTCAGTTGATTGGGCATTGTCCCACAAAGCAAAGTCACCAGTTTGATTCCTGGTGAGGGCACATGCCTGGGTTGCAAGTTTGGTTCCCAGTCAGGGCATGTACAAGAGGCAGCTGATAAATGTTTCTCTCTCACATCGATGTTTCTCTCCCCGTTTCTAGGGAGGGAGGGAAGAAGGGAGGGAGGAAGGAAAGAAAAGAAGGGAAGGAAGGAAGGAAGGGAAATCACTTCCCCCCATACAACTAGATGTATCAAGCAAATAGTACTAGCTGTATATCACTTTCCTGAACATAGCAAGCTTCTTGAATGAAATGAGATCCATTTGCCAGATGAGAATTAGGAAAAATTTATTTTCACAACCACGTCAAAAAATGGGTAAAAGCTTGGGACATTTGTAGCCTCAACTAACAGTTTAAAAAGCAGAGAAACCACAAGTTTACAAATTCAGTAAATGTGTCTCTAAGTTCAAATGAGTGATATAAAAAAATTAATTTCTCAAGTCCAGAGCCTTCCACGCCCTAGACTTGACTGGAGCCCCGGTTTTCACAAGGCAGCCCTCCCCCGTTGTCCCACAGCAGCCCTACGAGCGCAGGGGATGGTGTTCCCCTCTCACAGATGGCGGGCGTGAGGCACAGCGGGAGGAAGCCAGTCCACGGCCCCATCCGCCCAGCTGTCATGTCGTGGGCTCCACAGGACCACACACTGGCCTCTCTGATCCCAGTCTCCATTTCTGCCTAATGAGTCCTGTCCATTTAACTTGTCCCATCAAGTCGTTCTAATTGTACCTGATTCACATCTGTATCTTTAAAAGTGGTGGTTCCTCTTAACATGCAGCTGAGTGGCTCTCAGAGAAGAGAAATTTTCTTTTTAAGCCTCTGATGAGCACTCCCCTGTGCGTTCCAGAGCAGTCTGCCCTCTGATCAGCCTGGGGAGCCCGCTGCCCACCATGGCCCCAGGGGAAAGGCATCCAGAAAAGGCACTTTGAGCTCCAGGCAGCAGAGGCAGCTTAGACTGCGGGGACAGACTTCAGAATTGAAAATGGCCTGCTTTTCAGAAAAACAGAGCTGAGGAGCTCTTTCTCCTTCTCTTTCCTGCTGTGACCTTGGGTCAAGTGGCCTGTTTTCTCAGCAGGTCCTCATAACCTTGCAAATCGTGAAAGGAGCTGGTGCAGACAGCCCTGTGGTTTGAGATTGTACAAGAGAGATCTCCCCGTGTGCTACTTAAACCTCCCAAGCTTGGGTTTGGGATTAACCCCCTCTGATAAATGCAGCAGGTGTTATTTTCCAGGCCTCAGTTCATCCAAAGCCTGAAGGCTTTCTGACAGAAACATGGTTGTATATCAGCAGAATGCAAGAGCAAAACTGGCTCTGTTTGCAGTGGAGTTTGTCACAAGTCCGGTTGAAGAAATGCTTCTACAAAGTGCATGCCCCAAGCTGAGACCCAGCTGACCAGATTCTGGGTCTTTAAACCCTGTGTCTGATTTTAACCTTGACACATACTTATCCTTCCAGATGCCTGGGTCTCAGTGATGACATCTCTCTTGGTTCTTTTTTTTCTCTCTAGGTCAGCGCTTATTTGGGGAGACCATTCTAGGGCTCACCCAAGGCTCCGTCTCGGACCTCCTCGCTCGCCCGAAGCCCTGGCACAAGCTCAGCCTGAAGGGGCGGGAGCCCTTTGTCCGAATGCAGCTGTGGCTTAATGACCCCAACAACGTGGAGAAGCTGATGGACATGAAACGGATGGAAAAGAAAGGTAACTGCCCTGGCCAGCTGCTTTCCCATTTATAAATGCGCTATTTCTTTCAAAGCCTGCGTGCAGAGCTGAGGAGGGACACCGATCCATGACCAAGGGGCTGTAAGGCAGGACAGAGGGATTTTTGACAGTCATCCGCCAAGGATGGGAAGATCTGTGTCTTTTGCTACCTGGCAGCCCTAACTTAAGGACATTTGAGCATTGGGGAGCACTTGGACAGTTTCTGATAGCCACCCTGATGGTCAGTGTGCCCTTTTTCTTCTCTCAGGAGAGGAAGGTCGCCAAGAAATGAGTTCCAGCACTTAGTGGTGGCTTGTGTTTGCTGTCCTTCATCTTGTGGGTGAGCGGGATATCTCAGCATTGCTGTGCATGTGCCACATGCCAGGGGCTTTCATGCTATATTACTGGCGAGATCACTAATAAACGCCTTTGTAGATAAGGACACTCTGATTCAGAGAAGTTAGGTGCCTCCATTAAGGTCACCCAGCCTGGAAAATGCCAGAGCAAATTCCTGCCAGAACAGCTCTCCTGCTGCGACTTGACAGTCTCCACCCATAGAGGACATGGCCTCCCAGAGGGCTAAGCGCCACACTCCCCTCGGTGCCTCTGCACCCTCTCGAGTGTGTTGAGCGGCATTCCCCTTATGCTCTGGAGGCTACCGCACAGGAGAAATTCTGAAGGATTTCCATGGTGGTGGAAAAGTAATGCCCGTTCCATCTCATGGTTTGCACTCACTCCTACTGCTGCTTCTCATTAGTGAGTCCTCCCCTCAGAGGGGCAGTCCTGGGTCACTCAGCTGCAGTATTGTGAACTCACTCAGTGGCTGAATTCACATCCCTTGGATGTGGAGATTTGGTACCAGCTGCTGGCCTGCGACTGCCCTCCTTAAATCAGCTTTTGCAGAGGAGTTGGCCCAACAACCACCCACGTGGCTGTCCCTGGCCTCACCCACAGCTCCTCTGAGCCCAGGCCTGCATCCCCTGCATTCACCAGGAGAGGCTGCTGTTCACCACCTGCCAAGCATCACTGTTCTCACTCAACCAGGAAAAGAGCTGGAGCTCCAAAAAGAAGCAAGGGTCTCTGATACCTCCCCTAGGAACTCGTGGACTGGCTCTTGTATCACAATTCATGCTTCCAGTTCCTGGGTGCCAGGCGCTGTGCTGGGACTTCCCTTAATCCACACATTCCATACAGATGTCATTATCTGGGGAAGATGAGTTTCTGGCATTGTGAAACTTACCTGATTTATTTATTTTCAGAAAAGAGGGAAAGAAAGAGAGGGAGAGAAATCTCAATTGGCTGCCTCTCGCACACCCCAACTGGGGACCTGGCCTGCAACCCAGGCATGTGTTCTAATCAGGAATAGAACCTACGACCTTTCAGTTCTCAGTCCCACACTTAATCCACTGAGCCATAGCAGCCAGGGTGAAACTTTCCTGATTTTGAGAGCTGGCATAAGTAAGGAGCAGGAATCCAGACTCAGTGTTATTAGATTCAAAGCTGACGCTCTCAGATACGTTCTGTGCCGGGAGCTGAGTGCCTGCCACACAGGACCATGTGCCCAGGCAGCAGCCTTCCGCCCACCTGGGACCCTCCGGTGGGCTCCTGCCCTCAGGTGTGCAGAGCAAGGCTCTGAACAGGCCACAGCCTCTCAGGCAACTCGAGGCAGTGCTGCAAGCCCGAAGCCTGGTGCCACAGCACCCCCCAAAGTTTTTTAACTTCTTGTTATGGGAAATTTCAAACATAAAAATAGAAAGAATGGCGTATGAACCCAACATCTCCATCTCTGAGTTTCAGCAATTATCAGTGCTCACCCAGGCAATTTTAAAGTGTTCTGCATGCTGTCAAAGGGCACTGCCTTTCCTCCTTGGGCTTGCTCAGCGCCAGGAGCTCCCTCATCCAGGGGCAGGTCTGCACGTCTGGGCCAGCCCTCCCGAAAGCCACCTCTTGAGCAGCCTCCTGTTGCTGCAGACGTCAGCAGAGTCGAGCCCTGTTTCCGACACTCCCCGGTGTATTTCTCCTCCTGGGTCAGTGGAAAAGGACCTCATCCCCCATAAATAGATCCTAGGATTCACCAGGGGTTGTGGGGGAGGTTTCCACTCCTCCTTCAGCACGGGCTCTGGGCGCCATCTTGTGTTGCAGAAGGGTTACTGCTTCAGTGGGGCCCAGCCCTCCTCACATCCCAAGGTCCCTAAGCAGCTGTGGCCCCACTGTCTTCTCTCCCTGGTGGGGATGCTCACTAGAGGAACCTTCAGCAGCCCTAGTGGGAGACCAAGGCCCCTGACCCATCAGACTCAGCAGCAGCGGCCTGGGGCGCAGTGTGTCCCGTGATCTCCGCAGACTGCTGGTCGTCCGCCCGACAGGATGGGGCTGGCCGGACAGACCAGGCTCATTTCTTTCTAGCCTCTTAACTCTGTCATTTTAATTTGGGGGGTGGGGGGGTGGCAATTGGCCTTCTCAGTTGTTTCCTAGTTATAATAATAAAATGGCAAGTTAGGTAACTCCCCAGCCCAAGTTTCTACATCTGTAAAGTGAGGGTGATAATGCTAACCTTTTCTGGTTATGAGGATTAGAACGAATGTACCTAGCATAATGACCAGCACACGTAAGTGCTCAGTAAATGGTAGTTATTAAAATAATACCTGTCCCTTTAAAATCGATGAAAAGAAGTTGTACTACTATTCTGGCCTAGATTGATAATTCCACACCAGGCTGTCTAGACCAGGCTTCATGCACACACTGTGCTCCCTTCTCTCCCATGAGGCTTTGCTTCTCCCTTTAGCTTGAATCTTTTATCACTCTGCCTGCCTGCCTCTGTCCTTCCTTTCTTCTCTAGAAACCTTTCTCTACCCCAGTCTGCCTTCTGCTTTGTGTTCCCTTCATGAGATGATCCTTGAACCAACCTGTGCACACAGTTACAGGCACACGGATGCACATGCATGTGCAGCCTCCACTAGCTCACGGGCACGGCTCCTCTCCCTGGAGGGTACAGATGCACCTCAACAGTTCATAATCTACTCCTGAGACATTGGAGACCCATCTGTCAGTGCTGCCAAAGGGTGACTCCCTGGCTGTCGGTGGCTCCCACAGACACAGCCCCGGGCCCCCCACACACACTGCAGCCAGAGGGGGCCGCCACTGAGCGTGGCAGCCTATGCTTCTGGGAACGTGCTTAGGCCAGGCCTCAGTGCTGCCACTTCATACCTGTGTGACCTCAGACGAGTCGTTCAGCCAACCTTCAGTTCCTTCATCTGTACAAAGGGCTGACAGTGGTCTCTCCCACTGTGTAACTGTCATAGTTAATGATGTTAGCTGCTGATGATGATACTGCCACTCTTAATACTACGTACCATTTGAATTAAATAATAATATTCCCCATCGTCCATCAGTATTAAGAAGTTTTAATCCCTGGCTGGCATAGCTCAGTGGATTGAGCTCGGGCTGCGAACCAAAGCATCGCAGGTTCGATTCCCAGTGAGGGCACATGCCTGGGTTGCAGGCCACAGCCCCCAGCAACCACACATTGATGTTTCTCTCTCTCTCTCTCTTTCTCCCTCCCTTCCCTCTCTAAAGATGGGTAAATAAAATCTTTAAAAAAATTCTCTTGGTGGGAGGGGGGAATGGATTGGGAGTAAAAAGGAGAAAACTGTATTTGAACAATGATAAAAATATAAATAAATAAATAAATAAATAAAAACTCAAATATGGAAAAAAATTCTCTTAAAAAAAGGTGTTTGTTTATGGAAAAAAAAGAAGTTTTAAAGATTTTTTAGACCATAGTCCAAACTACTAGTCCACTAGAAAGATCACTGTGGATGATTTATTTGTGTGAAAAGCTTTATTTGTGTGAAAAGCTAGTCAGTGATTACTGACGTGTTACAATAAGCAGAGCAGGCGATGCCCAGATAGTACTGACAGAACCAAGAGAACTTGAACTCCAGGAATCGCCTCCTGTCCACTCAGCACATCCCCAGGCGAGAGCCACACACTGAGCCCCTGAGCCTGTGGCAGCCTGCCCGCTCCCCACCGCCCCTCCCAACCGTTACTCCACAGTGAAAACACACGGCATCTCCACATACAGTCCCCTCAGCTCCAGCTTCTGTGCCAGCCTGCTCTCCTGTGCCCTGCTTTTGCCCCTGGTCCCCCTCCTCCTGTCAGACCCTGCCTCCCCGAAGCTCTTCCCAGCAGGCTCTACTGTAAGCCCCTTCTCATGTCCATCGCCTGCCAGCCTCCTGCTCACTCGACACCTTCTCACCGTGGCCCCTGGATTACGGTCTTCTCCGTGGTCACATTCTGCCTCACCCGGGGAGATGTTAGGACCCATCTGACTTGTATATCACCCGGGCTGCAAGCTCTTTGACCTCCTCAACCCTCGGATGTTCCCCAAATTTTGTTATCACCCACAACCATTCTACCTCTCAAAGCCTAAATTCAGATACCGCACTCACCACATTCCACTGTCCTTCCATCTTTCCGTGTTTCTCTGCTCATTCCACCTCACCCAGGCTGGCCCCCAGACACCCCTCCGCGTTTCCCCATCAGTTTGCCTCCTCTGCCTTTAGCCCCTTCCTCAGACGTCCCAGGCTCTGTGATCCGTCACTTCATTGCTCTCGGGCTGTGGCACTGTCTCTCTCTCACCTTTCCGTCCTCGTCCCTCCACAACTCCCAGCCTTGGGTTAGTGCCCTGCCAGTTTTTTCCACCCATCCTTCTTGGCATCTGGGACCTGCTAGAGAATACCCCAGACCCTGTGGGCTGGCGCCCCCTCAGATTTGTGTCTCCAGCATCAGTAGGGTCCTCTGTCTTCTCTCCCCACCCCAGCCATCCCTCTCTGCCGTCCCCTGCCACCATCTCCCATGACTCCTCCACTCGCCAGACTCCTTTCCCGTCACCTCAGACCACCCTTCTCCTGTCTTCCTGCTTCACAGAGAAAGCGAAGGCCGTGGACTTGCCCCACTAGCCCCTGTGGACTTCTCTGTGCCTCCGCCTGTCCCTGCGCACCTCCAGCAACCGTCATCTCCCTCACCTCCATCACCAGCTTTCTTCGTCCCCTTGGCTCAGAGCTTTTCCAGCGCTCTCTCATTTTTATAGAGACCCACCCTCAATCCGAGATTTCCCTTCTAGAAGCCATCCTGTCTGTCTCTTTCCTGTTATGGTTAGGCTTCTTAAAACAGTAATTCATTCTCACTGCCTTCACTTCTCACCTCCCATTTCCTGTCAGACCTACCACAGTCCGGCTGCTGCTCCCACAGCCCCACTCTCTGTTCGTCAAGGTCCCCAGTCACCTCCTGGTCACTAAACCCACAGGACCTGCTGGGTCCCTGTCAGACTGTCCTTTCTGCAGCACAGATGCTGTTGACCCTCACCCTCCACTCATCCCCTGCCGCACCACCGTCTCCCGGTTTTCCTCCCGCCCCTGTTTCATTCATGGCCACCGCTTCCTGGGAGGGTCCCTGCGTGTGGCTGTTTTCCACACCCTTGTCCTCAGCGCTTCTCTGTCTCAGTAATGCCATTGACTTCAACTGTCGTTTCTATTCAGGTGGGTCCAGATTCCTCTCTCTAGCCCAGACCAGTCTTCTGAGCTTAATACCAACCTACCCAACTGCTTACTGAGCATCTCGATGTGGAGGGCCCAGAGGGCCCTCAGACATCACACCTCTAAGACACACCATCATCTTATCCCTTCAATCTGTTCCTTCCCTGGTGCCTAACCCAAAGACACCACCACCCACCTCATCCCCCTGAGACCACAGAGCCACCTCAGCTCTCTCTGTCTGTTCCGGGGTGTCAGACTCATCTTCACCGGGGCCACATCAGCCTCGAGATTGCCTTCAAAGGGCTGAATGTAATTTCATCTCCTTAACAGTTAAGGAGTGGTCACATTTACACAGCCATAAAATTATTTTGCCCTTTAAAGGCAGCCGCGAGGCTGACGTGGCCCCCGGTGAAGATGAGTCTGACACCCCTGGTATAGTTCATTGAATCAGCTGCCGAGTCCTGTCAGTTCTACCCCTTAACACCTCCCCCACCCACCTGCTCTTCTCCCAGCCCGTCACTGCTGCCTTATCTCAGCTCTTTATCACTTTCTGCCTTTTAGCCCTTCTCCCTCCCAAGTGTAGCCAGAACAGCCTTTCAGAAACATACAGCTGATCACATCATTCCCCTTGATGAAAATCTTTTTGTTCCACTGCCTTTAAGACACAGTCCAACCTTTGTCCTGCCCTTTGCCCGTGTCTCCAGCTGTGAGTCGGCCAGCTTCTCCTGCACCAGTGCCCCTTTCACCTACGCGCACACAGCACACCTTAACTGTGCTGTCGTGTGGCTCCACGCCTCTGCCCATGCTGCTCCCGCTTTCTGCAGCAGCCTCGCACCACTTTCTACCTCATTACCTGTATTTCCTGATTAACCCCTCCCTGCCCTTCAAGACTCGGGTTAAACATTATCTGTCCAGAGAAGACTTCCCCGACCCTCCCCAGGCTGGCCTGCATGCCTCCCCTCGGTTCCCCTACTGGGGTCCTCTGTCTGTGCACCTGTCTGTGTCCCCCACTGAACTGCCAGCGATGCAGGGCTAGGCGGGAGCCTCCCATTACAGCAGAACCAGTCCTCCTTGAGTGCATGTTGGGTTTCAGAGTGGTTCTAGTGCACGTGTTTTGAGATGCTCTTGGAAGAGCGGAGTAGAACAGCCTGATGCCACAATCTTGTGATCTCAATCCAGGGGTATACCATGTACTGTGGGGCCAGGGGCGTGGACAGATCTCTCGGCTGGGCCTGCCCCTGAGTCTGACCTCTCTCTCTCTTCCTCAGCCTACATGAAGCGACGACACAGCTCTGTCAGCGACAGTCAGCCCTGCGAGCCCCCCTCTGTCGGCATTGACTACAGCCAAGGTGCGAGCCCCCAGCCGCAGCACCAGCTGAAGAAACCCCGTGTGGTGCTGGCTCCTGAAGAGAAAGAAGCTCTGAAACGAGCATATCAGCAAAAGCCATACCCGTCACCAAAAACCATCGAAGAACTTGCCACTCAGCTCAACTTGAAAACCAGCACTGTCATCAACTGGTTCCACAATTACAGGTGTGCCCCTGCTCTCAGCCCAGTGAGCCCGGCTCCCAGAGGACAGGCTGCAGCCCTGCGCAGGAGTCTGTCCTGCAGAGCGTGGCTGATAAGGGTCCATGGGAATGACGTTCAGTGCGCCCCGCACACAGGGGACTGAGAACTTGGTTACTTCTCAGTGCTTTGGTTAGCCGGATGGGTTTTTACGCTGTTCTATTGGCCTTCCTAACTCCAAAGAGGGTTATGTGGTTAGAGAAAATCTACATCTATGACCCCCCAAAATTCCCTCTAATTTATATCATTTAATAAGGGACAGTATAGGTATTCATGGTTCCGTAGCAGTGGACATTTCTTAAGTGATTTTTTTAGTGCTTTCTCGGGGTCTTTTACTATATCGTTTTCCAAATTAGTTTTATTAGTTTTGTGATTAAATAAATTCAGTAGTGTAAAATGCTTTCTTTTGGGAAAGCTCCAAGCGAATAAAGATTTATTGAGCATCTACTAGACCTCCAGACACTGAAATAAGTGTTTTAACCAACACTGTATTACTTGATCCTCACAACTGTATGATCCTGCACATAGTGTGACCAACATCCTACAGGTGCAAATACAAAACTCAGAAGGGAGTAGGGGGTGCTGAGTGCTCTCCTTGTAGAGCAGAGTAAGCTGAGGTGACATGCTTGGATTAGATCACGGAAATTCACTGAAAGATAATGAATTATTGATCATAGCTGTAATCAAGACTCCCTACCACCAGAAACCAAGAATTTCCAGGGGCCTGATGGAAATTCCTGCTTGTTTCATGTCTTGTGAGGGGTCATCTCAATTGCCAGTGCTCATCAGAACATCGTTTTCTCTAGGGATCAGTACACCAAAGTGACGAGGAGCTAGTGTGGGTAAGAGCCTCAGTTGCTCACCTGAAACAAGTGGCAGGCAGTAGATCACAGCTAGTCAGGGGCCAGGACTGCGGGAGGTGTTGTGTCTCTGACTGGGCCCTGCCTCATCTGACAGGTTCTGCTGGTGCTTCTGAAGGGGCCCAATAAGCCTCCCAGGTTCTGAACAAAGTGGGAAAATTTTAAATATTAGATGGGAGCCAAATATCACCTTTACTGCTAAAAGAAAAAAAAAAGCTAAGTTAATAGTTGAAGCTTAGTGTGAGAGCCAGATAGACCTGCTACCTGACCCCTAAATCCACGCAGATCTACCCGTTGTGGCAGCACTGGCCCCAGGCCGACCTCCCCATGTGTGGGCTAGCTCCCGTGAGGACAAAGAAAGGACGTGAGCTGAGCATAACCAGCTTAGTCATCATTTACCAATCAGACAAAAACAGGCAAAGTGGGGCCAGCAGTTACAATATTGGAGCTCCCGCTACATGGAAGGAAACCTCAACAGTAGTGAATAAGCGAGATGGAGGAAAATGACTGGAAGTGTGGACAGAGGTTCACCGGAGCCTCTCCCTGCCAGGCATTGTATCACCCCATTTTCACTTTCTAGACCCAAAGGTGCGTTTGAATATGTAATTTCAAGTTAGGTCCATATTAATGCAGGTGTTATAACTCTGGACAACAGTGCATGAAGCTGTAGATTACTGAAATCTGGGTAAAGGTGCTACTAATTACACAAAACATCTCCAAAACCATCTCCCCTGGTCCTGCTGGGGCCACCTTTTTCTTAAGATTCCCCTTCAGGCTTCAGTTGAGTGTCCATCATTGCCTCCTGTCCAGGGCATTCTCTCTTCCGGTTTCTGAGCTGCTGTCACGCATCCTGCTGGCCTCCTGACAACCACGGTGATGCCCACCACATGGTGGGCAGTGGGTCATTGTGGAGAAGCAAACTCAGTTTACACCCTTGGCTAAAACAGAGAAAGGGGAGAGACGGAGAATAGCAATAGGCTGTCAAAACTTAGTAAATGAGCTCAGGTCTGGGTCTAGAGTAGGTGCTTCATAAATGCTTTCTTTTGAAAGGAACTCCACAACAAAACAGGCTGGGCTATGGGAGAGCAAAGGACAGAGACTGGTTTCAGCTGTGGAGATCTGGAAAAATATCATGAGATGTGCAGGGTCTTGAAAGAAGAATGAGAATGTTGTAAGCCACAAAATAGGTCTGAGAAGAAGTCAGCACCGTCAGACTATTGAGATCCTGCTTTGAGGTGTATCCTCTTTTGGCTCAAATAGACTTTTTTTAAGTGAGCATGAAGTCATTCAGAATTAGCATAAAGCCCACAGCACTGAAGTTATTTGCCTAAGGTCACCCAGGAGGTAAAGTGCCAAGCATTAACTCAGTCAGAGCAAGGCTGCCCCCCTGGCTTCGGTTCTTCCCTTAAATGCCGGTGCAGGCCGACTTAACACGCCACAAAATAAGCCTGGTGAGAAGTGAGCGCCATCACTCTGTTGAAATCTTGCTCCCAGGTAGGTGTGTCCTCTTTTTGGCTCAAATAAAACTTACCCACAGAGCTTCACACAAGGTCCGGCACACAGTAGTACTCACTCCACACACATCACTGAATGGGCTTAATTCCTAAGCAAGAAGGCAGTCTCTTACATTCTTTCTTCAGGAGTTAAACAGCAGACAGTGAATTTATTTTCTCCTGCCCCACTGGAACCCTCAGGGAATAATGTTTGGATCAATTTTTGCCAAAAATAAAACTTTGCTTCCTCTTACCCTTTTCCCTAAAGAAGTTGGAAGTAACTTAGAGTGACCATTTACTAGGAATGGGACCAGGAATGCCAGAAAAACATACCACAACACTCCTGGTCTCCTGGAAGGTCAGGTCCACCCTGTAGAAACTGTTTTGAGAGTATTTGTAGAAACTGTTTTTGAGAGTTTGCATGACTTGTATGAAAACCAGATCTGCTCCTGGGACCTGGTCTTTCTAGACCAGAAGACAATATTCCTCATAGACATAGAGACAATTCTAGGCTAAGAAGGAGGATGTCTCATATCTTTTGAGCACATAATACAGAGTGGGGCAAAAGTAGTTTTACAATTGTTTATGGAAAATAATACAATAGTCCTGGCTAGTGTGGCTCAGTGGATTGAGCACCAGACTGCCAACCAAATGGCCACCAGTTCAATTCCCAGTCAGGGCACATGCCTGGGTTGCAGGCCAGGTCCCCAGTAGGGGGCACTCAAGAGGCAACCACACATTGATGTTTCTCTCAGTCTCTTTCTCCCTCCCTTCCCCTCTCTAAAAATAAATAAATCTTTAAAAAATAATACAATAAAGGATATATAATAAACTCTGTTTTATGTACTCACAACTGTGAACCTACTTTTGTCCCACCCTGTATGTGCCAGACACTGAGCCACAAGCTTTATAGGTGTGTCATCTCGTTAGACCCTCCAATCAGCAGTCAAGTACAGTGCTGCCAGCCCCATTTTACAGAGAAAGGTTGCACATGCTAACTGAGCTTGTGAGGGCGGCAGCCTGGATCCCATGCCACAGGCATGAGGTTGTTCCTTCCCACCCCCAACCCAACCTGTCTGCCTCAGCCTTAACACTTGTATTTCTGTCATTCAAAAGGCACCTCCATGGTAACAATAGTTTGTTGGGGCGGGGGCGGCGTCTACTTTGTGTCCTGTATTATACTTTTAATATTTTATTTAACCTTCTTATCTCGGCAAAGAAGATACAGTTCTCTACATTTTGCTCAAAAACATTAAGGAAATTATCCAAGCTGTATGGGTAGTAAGTGACAAAGGCAGATTTCAAACCCAGTTTGCCTGGTTCTAAAAGCCTGTGCCCTCTTCTGGGCCAATCTGCCCCCAGACTCAGAGTTAGTACTTGGTGGGCCTGTGACCTGGCTAGGACCAAACCCGCAGCTGCCCGTCTAGCCCCCGACTTACCTAAACAGGGTGGAGTGGGCTTGTGTATTTATCCCAACTGGTGGTTTCAACTGCCGGTAAAGAGCAGGTTTACCCTCCCAGCATAGTGCCCAGGAGCCTGTTGACAGAACCGTCATTTCACAGGCTCCTGCAGTAGCCCCAGGGAAGGAGGAAAGCCAGTGTTACCCCTAGGGACCTCCAGGGGTGTTCAGGACCTCATGCTGCAACTCAGGCTCCGAAATCGTCTTCAGGACAAGAGTCTTAGAGCTCACCCTGTACCAGGAACGATCATGTAGCAGACAGCCACCAGCAGAGTTGATACACTGGACTAAGCTACAGCCAGATTCTCCCTGGTCCCAGCATTTCCCACATCCAACACAAGGCGTGACATAGAGTGCATGCTCTAAAAAACATTACCTATATTGAGTTATATGTACTGCAGAAAATATTTTCCTGCATTCCTAATCCAAAGGCTTTCTGCAGGCTAATCTCTGCAGGACGCTAGACTTGATGCTAATTTACCTGAAGATGCTTTGCCATTAACAGTTGGCCTTTTCAACTCTGGAATAAACACCTAGAGAGACTTCTGATTGAGGCTCGGACTGTCAGCATGATGGGGGGAGAAACTTCGGCACAAAAAGACTTAATGGGAGCCCTTCAGTGATGTCTCCAAGGGCTCCCAAACAGGGACGGCCAGGGCCCCAGTCGTTTCCTTCAGACCCAGCAAAGCACTGGAGCACATTTCCCTCCGTCTGCTGCACTCAGGTTGATTAATGGGTGGAGCACATGTTTGGCCTGCCTTCTGCTTGATCAGACATCACCCTTTGTGACCCTTCTCTGGTCTTCTTTCAAAGAAGGACATCAGTTGAAACATAATTTGATGGAATTCCACTTCACTAATAATTGCTTCTCTGTCATGAAGTCCTCATGAGGAAGCAGTGGTTACTGTTCATCCTGCATTGGCAACTCCTCAGCATTCATTACTGTACACCAGTAAGACCCTCGCTGGGCCAGGGCCTGTGCACAGAGTAACAGGACCCCGCCATTCGCAGCTGGTCAGAGGCCCAGCAGGGTCAGGACGCAGGTGCCATTGGATAAGTGACATCCATGCTCCATCCTAGTGGATGGAAGACTGGCATTCCAACCAGGGGACGGCTTATGCTGAGGCGCACAGTGTGGGGCACATCGAGTGGGCGGGGCCTTTGCAGCGGCCCCGGGCTAGGCTGGGGTGGACGTGTGAGACTCAGTGCGCAGGAGCGACGGGGCCGGAACTGGGGCAGCGGGGGGCCGGCGGGCCCCAGGGAAGGGGCCTGTGTCCACCTGTGCTCAGCGGCCACCTCACGGTGCTCTCCCTGCTTGTGTCTCCTAGGTCTCGGATCCGCAGAGAACTGTTCATTGAGGAGATTCAGGCCGGGAGCCAGGGCCAGGCGGGGGCCAGCGACTCCCCGTCGGCCCGAAGCAGCCGGCCGGCGCCCAGCTCCGAGGGCGACAGCTGTGACGGCGTGGAGGCCGCCGAGGGCCCGGGCGCCGCGGACGCTGAGGAGTCGGGTGGCCCCGCGGCCGCCACCAAGTCTCAGGGAGGGCCTGCGGAGGCCGTCGCGGCCCCGGAGGAGCGGGAGGAAGCGCCGCGGCCGTCGGAGAAGGCGGAGGCGCCGCCCTCGGGGACCCTGGCCCCGGACGACGACGCGGACGAGGGCCAAGCCCGGGCCCCGCCGCCGCCGCCGCCCGAAGGCCCCGCGGAAGGCCGGAGGCCTGTGCCAAAACCCGCCGCCGCCCCCAGGGAGGACGCCGCTACCTCAGCCGCCCCGCCGGCGGAGGGCCCCTGCAGGGCCCGGGACGCCGACGGGGGTTCCGCTTTGCCAAGCACCAGTGCGCCCGCAGCCGCCCGCAGGCCCAGCTCGCTGCAGAGCCTCTTCGGCCTCCCCGAGGCGGCGGGCGCCAGGGACTCGCGCGACAACCCCTTGAGGAAGAAGAAGGCCGCGAACTTGAACAGCATCATTCACCGCCTGGAGAAGGCCGCCAGCCGGGAGGAGCCCATCGAATGGGAGTTCTGAGAGGCGCCGCCCGCCCACCCGCGCCCCGGGCCCGGGCCCGAGCAGGGCCGCGCCGCGTCGGGGCCGGCCGAGCCCGCCGAGCGGGGCGGAGGGGCGGCGCCGAGCCCGCGGCCCGGACCGCGTTGCGCACTTACTGCCCTGCGGGCCACAGGGCAAAATCGCCATAGGCCAAGGTGCATATAGAAAACAAAGGAGCATTAAGCCCAATCTATGTTGTGTTTTCAAGGAAGAAAACGGAAATGTGTAGTCGAGCTTTTTTGTACCCTGAAGTGTTTTTTTTATTGCCCTAAGTGATTTCCACAGGTTCTGGAATAACTCTTACAGCTTTGCCTTGCGCCCTCCTCTTTCGTGTGGGCTTTAAAAAAAAAAAAATCAAACCCACATATTAAAAGGGGGCTTTTTATCTGCCATCTAATGGCTTCAGAGCGATAATACACTATTATCTTCTTAAACCAGGAAAAGGGGGGGATTTTTCAGAAAAATTAAAAAAGAAAGTTTTTGTAGCTGTTCAGTTGCCACTAAGAGATTGCACAGTCAAACCGACTCTAAACACACTAGTTTGGATTCCTGAATATTTTCAAGTAAAGAATCTTCTCGTTTGAAGCTTTGAATTGAAATAAAACACATTTACTCCACATATTTTTTAACAAAAAGAAAAGTCACATCAGGAAAATAACCAATTTTGTGGTAGCTGACGTAGTGTTTTCTTGTACGTGAATAGAACCTGACATGTAGTGCACATCAATCCATAGCTTTAACTGGCTCTGGGCTTTTGCTGACCAGGGTCTGTTTAATACACTCCATTCTAGGCCAAATCAGGACAAAAAGAAAAGATCCGAATCTAGGTATTTTATAATCTGCTTTTTAACCTCTAACCGCAGAGCACGCTGATCAGACCTCATATCTCGGAGGTTTAGGAGACAAGTTAGAACTGTAGCATGTACCCGTTCATTTTGTTTAATTTATGGTGTCTACGTCTGTGTTAGTGCGTCTGCACATGTGTGAGCATTTAAAGAAAGGAGGAAAGAGTAGGCCACTGAGGTCACGGCAGACAGTTCTGGGGCCAAACGGGGCCCACTCCGCGTAGGCAGCAGTCTCTCCTTGGCACAGAAGGCACCACACCTCACACCACTCTCCCAGGCGCCTGATGGACTGAGCCCCACCAGGGGACGCCACTCCCCGGGCCTGGGCAGGGCTCCCGCGCACTCTCTCTCTCCCTTCCTTCCCACCACAAGCACTGATGACTGTCGAAGTCGTGGGAAGTGTCCTTCCCTGCAGAAGAGAGAACGTGGCAATCTGGGCTCTGCTCCCACCCCCACAGAGATGGCCCAAACTGACACCAAAATGTTGATACTCTTCACTTCCAGACCAGACCATTCACTCTTCACTCATATTGCCTCTCGGGACGTTCTTTTACGCAGTCTTTTACTGAATCTTTTAGGTCAGTCTAAGTACAAATCAGAAGTCTAACTTGTCTCTGATTCCTCCTGTTGTCTATGTGTATATGCGTGAGAATAGAGGTGGATGCGAGTGTGCGTGTGTGCGTGTGTGCAATTTTATACGTCTGTGTATTTTCTTAAGTACCTGTGCACACATAGAGTGCATTACTGCCACCTTTTTTCAATAAGCTGTTCAGTTATGGCTTCTACAAGTTTGCTAATTTAGACTCCTTTATTGCCATATCTTTAAACTAACAATAGATGATTTCGGTATATATATATTTTTTTTTGCTTATTTATAGGTGCTGTATTTTATTATCTGATTGTTAGGAAGGGATGAAAGGGGCAAATATTCTTTAGAGGGATAGACTGCCGGCAGTATTGGGTATAATTTACAAGATGTAGTTGTCATACTGTATATTACTGATTGAAAACTTTTTGACCGTATTGTGTATCATTGAAACCTTTGTCTTAGGTCAACATCTTTGGATGACATTTTAATGGTGCATTCATTATTTCTTAAGTTTAATTAATATTATCTTTTTTGATTCGGGGGTGGGAGGGAGTTACAAGTTTAGAGGTGTGCTCCCGCTGTGGCACCTCAGTGTGCTTGTGTTAATTAACTTGTAGGACTTTGACTGTAAGATGCGAAACCACATTTCTTGCATGACATTTTAGAAATTGTATATTTCATTTACAGTCTTTTAACCTGCAACTGCAGCACTTAGTTCAAGTTTTCACAGATTTAAGAGTCACTACACTAAAGACAATGCCTTTCATGAATGAGAAGTTCTCAGAAGGCTCTAGGAGGCTGTGAGGCAGGCCGCTTGTCTTTCGGTGGTTGGACCGTCTCTGGACCTGAGGTCTGGTTCAGCAGAGGAGAATTCAAAATGGAGGAGCTCAAGGGGAAACAGGTTACCATCCGGCTCAGTGCAGGCGCATTAAGAAGAGCGAGTTGGCGTTAGTGACCCTTAGGACAGCGAGGAGCAGAGCCCCTGACAGTACTGTGGTGTCCTCTCCACAAAAACCTCGAGGGAATTCTGTCATCGTGTGTGATGAATCACTAAATATCTGATTTTCATCAGAATCAAAAGCAGGGAGTTAACAGGAAATGTTAGGGTAGTGTTTTAGTTTTAAAGGCATGACTGTTATTTATAGAGGTATTAAATGCGAGGAAATTGAAAAATTATAAATTTGTTCATTCTAGTGGCCAAATAGTAACAGTCTAAAATAGCCACTTTGGCTCTTCCAAGCAATTTAGTCGTTTTTGTTGTGCTGGGGTTTTTTAACTAGGTTATTGTTGATTTCCACTTTGTCTCTTTTGCCAGACTCACATCTGGGTGCTCGATACAATCAGTTGGTTAAATTTTTGCTTGCAGTTCTGTATTTGTATTTTTTCTCTATTTATTTTTTTCTATTGCCATCCCAGCCCTGTTCTCTTTTGTGTTGAAGCTATCACTGTCTGCAATACTTCTTAGAGCTGCCACTAAGTAACAGAAACGTGTCGGCGGGGGCGGGCGTCCCCCTCCTCGTTGCGCCCCTCAGTTTGAGTCTAAGGGTTGAGCTTTCATCTTGAGAAGCAATATTCAAGTGCCTTGAACAGCATCCCCTCCATAGGGTTTTACCTTCAGCGGGCAGGCGTTCCAAGCAGTAGCTCCCACAAGCAGCCAACCTCCTCCTCTTTACGCTCCATCGGTTTAAAAAGCTGATTTGTACCTCTCTCCTGGGGAAAACGGTTCCATATAAAACACTAACACTTAATTACAAGCTCCATTATACCATTTTAAATGGCTTCTTTTTGTTAATTGGAGGCAGTGTTCATAACTTAAGGTTTTTGCCATTACTTAGCTGGCTAAGTGGAGGCTCAGCATAAAATCAGTGTTCGCAGTTGGCCTCTTGACCCCGGCTCCCGCCCACGCTCTCCCCGCGGTGTCTGCGGTGGGAGGCATGGGTTCTGGCCCAGACCCGTGCCCGCTCGCTTCCACCACCCGGCTCCCCGGTGACCAGCTCTCTAGAACTTCCAGATCGGTCAGGACATCTCTGACTTCTGTCCACCAGACTGCTCTCCTTTAAAAAAAGATGACCACAGCCATTACTTCGAGTCAGTTATTCTCAGAGCCACCCCGCCTGAGGAACACCACAGTGCGCAGTGGCTTATGGTCAGCAGGCGGCCCTGAGACGCAGGCTTGGGAGAAGTCTCCAGGAAATGCTAGGGTCTTGACTCGCATGAGTACTCTCAAACCCTGGCCACTGTGTCTGGGAAAGTGACTGAGGTGACAAATAACCGTGCATGGCCCCCCTCTACTTCCTAAGCACAAATGCCTCCCTGCCCAGTTTCCTTCCTGTTGGCATCTTTGTTCTCTCCCCATTTTGAAACCATCCTGTCTGATGTGGACATTTAGGTCTGCCAGTTGGTGGTCTGGTGGTCCAGACCCAGAGTGCTGTTGAGCTTTGGGTTAAATGTCACTCTGTGCTCTCTCTGGCACGAGAGACCCTCCCCACCCTGGGTCCAGCTGGCCAGCTCCAGGAGGAAGGAGACACCCCAGCTGCCTCCTGGGCCAGGGTGCATCAGTCGTGCAGTTCGTGAGCTGCCCAGGCAGAAGGCGGGTCGTGTGGGCTGACTTCCCTAAGATCAGCAGCAGTCACGCCCTGAGAGACGGGAGTGCAAGTCAGCAGACGGCTCAGGCTGCAGGAGGGCGCCTCCCCAGCTACAGCTGGGTGGGTTTCTCTGTCCCTCCTAAAGTCGTGCCCTTTCACACAGGAGTGATCAATGAACTCAGCTGGCATTCTGTGTGTCGTTTTTCATTCCCCTGATTTTAAAGAAACAAACCTCACTGAAAATAGCAGAGGAGCAGGGGAGTAGATGCACATCCTGGGGTCAGCTCACAGTGAAACGGCGATCGACTTAGTAGATCTGGAGCCGGGGACCAGCAGCCTCTGCCTTAAATGCACTGTGACAGGCACCTCCCACAGGCCCACAAAAACAAGGGTCTGCTTGCGGCCTTCACAGGCCCTGCTCTTGGAGGCCAGCGCACCAGCTGTACGGCCGGCAGTGTGGCAAGGCAGGGTTCTGGCCTGTGTGGTGGGTGTTGGCCACGTCCCTTCAGGCTAGAGGTTTGGCTCCCTCCCTGCATATCCTCAGTTGTCAGGACCCTCAGGCGCCCCGTCTACCTCACTGGCCCACGCTGCTGTCTGACGTCACTCCTCAGCCCACACCCGTCAGAACCCTGCAGTGGGTGGGCTGCGGGGGGAGAGAAAGCTAGAAGGGTGGCATCCACGACCTTGGCCTGGTGGGCAGGCATCTTCTCTCTTCTGAGCACGACACGGACAGACAGCTGTGTTCTGTGAGGCACACGGGTTTTTCTCTGTACTTCCACCTGTTCTGGAAGATCTGTCAGCTGTTTCCTTGGCAGACAGGGCCAGTCTCAGGCCTCAGAGGGGCTTGTCTTCGCCTGCCTTCGTTTCTGCCCATTCCTGTTCAGCTGTTCAGCTCCATCCCAGGCGTTTTCCTTGCCCTGGGCTGCCCTTAAATGGCCACGTGAGGACACTTCCCCAGGGTTCCGACCTGGTATCGGGGAGCTCTGTCTCTGTTGTGTCTGGGAGGTTGTGACTTCAGCTCCACTGTGACACTCCTTTGGAAGCATCTCAAAGACAGGAAAGGATATGGCATTCTCCAGTCCACTTGCCCAATCTCCAGTCACATGTCCCTTTCTTTCCCAAAGAGTTTGCCAGTTTCTACCCAGTGCTAATGAAAACCAGCTCTTAGGGCTGCTGGTTGGAATTGGGACCATCCATTTTGGTGGCGAAAGTGTTTTGATGGAAAGAATTTGGAAACGGGAGCCTAAGATTTGTGCCATCATCGTGCACTTGGGCATTTACCAGGAAAAGCTCACATGTAGAAATGCCCACAGTGTTCCGGGGGTTTCATTTGGGCCTTGGTGGCATTAAGAGAGCCTTCGTGGCCCACGAGGCAGAGCTCCTGCCCTGAGTGGCACAATGATGGCCTGGGACTCCGACGGGACAGGGTTCTACTTCCCAGTGCATTGGACGACAGGCTGACCGGCGTGCCACTTGCTAAGAGAGTGGTCCTGGTGCACAGTATCATTTCCATTTCCATCCGGGTGAATCCAGACAGTAGAGGACGGGGTGTGGGGAACAGCCAGCTGGACGAAAATGGGCCCCGCCCCAGAACCTTGCTGCCCCAGCAGCCCTACTCCCTGAGAGCTCACGCCTGGTCAGGGAAGAAAGAAATGCAATCCCCTCTCATCGGCCCCATCGGGAGCTGATCCCACCCACCCAGGCCTGGCTTCTGCCCTTCCGCCACCCCCCCTCCAAAGATACTGCGTCCACACTGGCAGTGGCATCACCTCCATTCTCATTTTTGGATGAAGTGACATTTAGCTTTAACAAGACATTTCCAAAGCGCCTAGTCTCCTCCAAAATGCTAACTTCAAAAGTTGGGCATCGTGGGCAAAGAATCCTAAAAAAAAAAAGGCTAGTGAGAGAAAGACATTAGGCTATGCATAAATGTGCACTTCCCCAAAGCCCCTGTTATTAAACTTAAAATGCCTTTGAGTTGCTTTTCGTGATCATTTTAATTTATCCAACACTGTTAAGAAGTATAGTCTGTTACTGTAACTTTTGTAGCGTTTAGGCTTTAATTTCTTACCACAAAATATGCTGTTTGCTATGTATCAAGCTTTCTGTGAGCAGAAAGGAAAGGTGCCTTATATCCCAATGTCACGGCCACATCCCTGTGGGAAACAGTCAGAAGCACAGTGAGCACGGAAGCACTGGGACTTCCGTCGGCGAACTCAGACTCCCGTCAGCAAGACAGACGGAAGTGGCACGGGGCTGCTTTTGTTTCAGAGTCCTCTTTCCCCCGCCTTTTCATTTTCCTTTTGTCTTCTTTTGTAGCTTGCTTTAAACAGAAAGCACTTAAATAGATGACTATGTGTGAAAGCTCTGTGCAATAGAAATCATTTTTCTTCATTTTTAAGAGATAATGTATTGCACACCAAATGAACTCAAAGTAAGCTTTAGACCAGGACGATTCAGGTTGTGGATCAGTACGTTCACTGTAGTTCCACGTGTTCCCGAACTGAAGGGAAAGCAGGTGGCCCCGCCCCACCCCCCTAGCCTGCCTCTGGCTCTGACCACTGAGCTCGGCCTGCGGAGCACATGGCCAGAACCGCTGGGGGGCGGGGCGGGCGTGTGCGCCTCCGCTGCTGAGAACCTCTGCCGTGTGAGACCACAGCCATCCCTTCCAGCACTTAACCTTTTCTTGTTGAGATGGATTGACTGCTACTGACCTGCCAGTGTGCATGAGGATAATTATAAAAGGATATTTCCTTGAGAAAAAAAAAATTATTTCTATCCTCTTCTATTTATTATTAGGTTAATCATTTAAGTACTTATCAGGAGTATATTGTTGTTTTGTGTTGTTTTGTTGTTGTTATAAATGCTTTTTGCTATCACTCCAGTGGTTACTGTCTTCTGCCTCCTGCCCTCCCCATCCCACCTCCCAAAAAAGAACTGAAGGGCCTGGGGACCTGACTGGGGGCACAGGGGGCTTCTCCAGCAGAATCAGACATCTGCCTCCAGAGTAGCCACTCAGAAACCAGTGGTCTCCACGTGTCTGACTTTTTAAATGAGAGTTGATGAACAAAAATCTGCCAGTGTGAGGAAACGCCGAGGTGAAGAACACTCATGTGAGAAGCTGCAGAGGAGACTTAAGCAAAATTCAGTTCCCCAAAGCCTCCTAGAGCCTCTGTAAGACTTCTGGGTTCATGAAGTTTCCGCGAGGGCGCGGCGGCCTGGCCCAGGCTGTGGCTTCCGAGTGAGAGAGTGGTTTCTTGCCAGGCTCACGTGGGTTGGCGTGTTTTAGTTGGCTTTTGTCGTTGTTGTTGTTGTTGTTTTTCTTGCATACTAATTTGGTCAAAACCATCTTTTAAAGCAACAGTGTTTCTTCGTTCGGCTGTCGCTTGAGGACCCGCACCAAGGAGGTCGAGGGGAGCCTCTCCTCCCCTCAGTGTGGCTGAATGCAGAGGGAGGTTAGATGTGGACAGAGCTTTCTGAGGCAAGCAGCACAGCCAGCAAGATACCCGGCTGCTTGCACTGGGCTGTGAGGCTGAAGTGGGGCTGCTCTGGGGCCTGTGGGCTCACCCTCGTGGGCGCCAGAGAAGGAAGCCCTTCCGGGTCGAGGCAGGGGCCCTGCCCGCCCCAGGTGGAGCCAGGCACCTGCCTCTGCCTCTGCCTCCGCCTCCGCCTCCGCCCCCATGGGGCCCGCCGACTCCCGACCTACTTTTCATGCCACGACTTTTCCCCTTCTCTGAAAACCATCGAAGGTCCTGATTTTGTTCTCATCTCTCTGAAAGAATGCCCTCCAATGAAATAACTGCCCTCATCCCCCCAAAAGGGTTTGCATTTCTCTCTAATTAGTCTATGCATTTCTCTCTCGAGCCGTTTTCTGCCTCCTTCCTTGAGAAAACGGGCATCTCATGTCCCACCATCTGAGACCCCCTCAGAAAATGCTGTGCATTTTGGAGATGTGAGGATTCGTTCAAACTTCATAAAGCATTTGAGGATAGCTTGTTGTAACGGTGGGAAAAGAAAAGGTGGTTTTCCCACGCCCCTGTCCACTGAGGAAGACCTAGCTCTTTGCGATTGTGCAATAACTACTTGCCTGCGAGCGGGCAGCCACGCCCCGTCCAGACTACTAAACACAGCACAGGCCCAGCGCTCTCGAAGCGGCGGGCTTCTTCCGGAGAATTCTCAATAAGCTCAGCTCCCCCCAGCATATCGTGGTGTCTTACATTTTAGCAGTATTTTATATTTTCTGTAACGCACTAAGTCTTAGATGTTTTTAGAGCTCATTTGTTAATGCTCACAATCACAGACTTTTTTTAAAATCCTCACAGAGACCCAATTGACCAAAAAAAGAAAAAAAGGCATCATTTTTTTATACAAATAGCTTTGAGAAGCCTCTGCTGTGTTGCTGTGACCCATCTCTAGTACCATTTTTATTTCTTGCTATCTGTTTTCAACATTAAGAGTCAGAAGCTGATCCGGCTGGCATGGGGGTGGGTGAGGCGCCCGTCGGCCCCTCGGTGTTGTCCCTTCTGTCTTTGGTTAGCCATACGATGTTCGTTCTCAGCACTGTACAACGGTCCCTATATGATATGGAGAAGCAATATCACTGTATGAAACTCACACCATGTATTATTATTATTCACTAGCACCCTAGGTGTGATAATTGAAGTAAATATCTTTTATACAAACACAAGAACGTGTGGGTCGTTTTTATTTAAAATGCTCTGGCCTGAGAAGCAGCAAACACTGTAATTCGGGGTCGAAAGGCACCTCAAGCTTTGCCGTTCCGAGGCAGCCATTCCTCCGCCTTCCCGTGCTCCCGGCGGTGCGTGGCATCCTGGCAGGCGGCGGCAGAAAGCCAGGTCTGGGCAAGGTGCGTGGGGATCGGGGCGCCAGCAGGCCGCACTGCCCAGTCTTCCGTCCAGACACACAGTCTCTGCTCACTCGTGTCACCCTGACCGTGTGGGCACCTTTGAGGCGCCAAGTCTCCCGGCACCCACTCCGCCGTCTGTGAAATGGGGGCCCGCAGCACTGTGTGTGGCACTGGGCTGTGGCAGCAGCACGGTGTATGGGCTTGGGTGCCCAGGGCCATGGCCAGCCATCTCTGCCTGGCGTCCTCCGCCTGCTCTGTGAGGGTCTCTCGGTGCATCCTTGACTCCTGGTGTGAAGAAGGACCAGCTGAGGGTGTCTGTTAACGCGGACGGGTGCGTTCCCACTCCAGAAGGAGGGAACGGTGTCATGTGGGTTTCTGCGATGGTCCGGCCCCTGGAGGGGGTCTCTCCCCCGCCTGCTCAGAGCTGGGATGGGAGAGCTCTGAGAGTCGGCCCGCTGGTGGTCCACAGGCTTGCGACTGATGTTCCTCATCTCGAGAGCTGCAGGGTTGGAGAAGAGCCGCCATCCTTACTGACGTGTGACTGGGAGGTGTTCGTTCCTTGTGCGTTAGTGTGTAGTTTTTGGCTGTGAAGCTCCCACGTGTGACACAGAAGTATGAATTACACGGGACTCAAGCCTCCCTCCAGTGGGAGGTCCCAGAGCCTGGCACAGTCTCCCACCAGAGCCCGGCGCCCTGGCCTGGCAGCCCCAAGTTTCACGGGGTCACTCAAGGGCATGGGTATGTCTAAAGCTGCCCCCAAATTTCTGCCCCTCTCCTACCAAGATGGGAGAAATGAGCATGAAACCACTAGAGCTCCATCAGTTTGACAAACTAAGGTCTAACTCAGCTCACATTCTGCTGCTTTTCTGTTTGCTAGTATAGGTACGCCCCCACTTTTTAAAGATCTACTGGCTAAGTCAAAAAGTAAAATGTAAAAAACAAAACAAATCCACTTAGCACCAAGTCCTTATACCCAGAAAGTCTCCCTAAGCGCTTTTCAAGTGAGATTTAACTAAGCAAAGCAGCAGTCGCCCGGGGTTTGCAAGCCTGGCTCTAAGTCTGTGAACTGCCAGCTCCAGGGCAGCCGAGGAAGCAAGATGTTGCGGCTGCAAGTGGGCGATGCCCCACCCAGGCCGAGCTCAGCCGCCCAGGGGGGCTCCCTCCTTGCCCCGTGGTGAAGTGGGTCTGGCCAGGTGATGTGCTGTTTGATGCCCTGAGGAATCAATTGCAGGTGGACAAGGCAGGGCAGAGCGACCAGACAGAGTCGCCAGGATGAGGGAGTGAGCCATCCGCCTGCCGCGGTCCCGTCTGCTGCATTTCCGAGAGCCCCCGGCAGGCTGGGGTGGGGGGGGCTGCCGTGGCTCCCGCGTGGAGGCTCCGGGAGGCACGCAGGCTGCTTGCTGCTCTCTACTTCAGCACGGGGTTGGCTCCTGAAGGGTGTGGGTGTTGGTAGCTAATGGGAAAGTTAGGAGTGTGATATTGGGGTGGGGGTGGGCTGGGCTCCACGCTCTTGATGGGAGTCTGGCCCACCCAGCGTGGGCTGAGCTGTGTTAATGGGAGTGGGAGGTGCAGCCCCCACCCAGCCTGGGGCAGACACTCAGGAGTTTCTGTCTCTTCCAAGAAGCTTGGACTCTCAGGGCGTCAGTAGAAAGGACCTTTTTGTTTTTCTCAAGCAAAATTATTTGTGAACAGGTGAAGCAGAGCTGCCCTGTTGGAGGCGGAGGGCGGAGCTCCAGGGAGTTAGGCGTGAGGACCCCACCCCACTCACCTTACAGGGGGGCATCGGGGCCCTTCCTTACGGTCAAACGGCATTGGAGTCAAGTCCCAGCATCTCTCACCAGCTGGTGACCTTGGGCAAGTCTCAGACAATGCTCAGGAAATGTTTTCTGAAAGAATGAATGAATTTCGCTTCTTTGAGTCCTGTTCCCATCTCTGGAACGAACGGGAATATCACGACGCCAGACTCACGGGGCTGCTGAGAGCACTAAGCGGCAGTGCCCGCGAGCCGCGGTGAGCGCTCGGCACGCGCTCGTTGTGCCTGCCGGTGCGGGTGACACTTCATCAAGTTTGGTGGCTGCCGCAGCCGCCTCCACCCAAGGTTGTTTCGGCCTTGTGCCAGCGCAGGAGGGGCCCCGCGCAGGCCAGGCGCTCCCACAGGTTCGCCAGAGCCCGCAGCCGCCAGCCTCGCAGCTCAGGCAGCGAAGTCCCCCACGCCCCGCAGCTCTCCCTTCAGCCCCCTGCTGAAGACTCCAGTCTCGGGCTCCTCGGGTGGCTGAGGCTGCCACCCCGGACTCGGTCACACACAGGAAGGAAGGTCCCAACCTGCCCCTCGCCCTCGTGGAGAGAGGGCTGCGCCTTCCGCAGAGGCAGTCTGCTCTTAGGGACCCCTCTGAGTGAAGCATCTGCCAAGGCTGAACCCCGCCCCTTCACGGCCGAGCCCAGAAGCCTCCCACGTCTGAGGAGACCAGATCCTCTGGGACCTTGGTTCTCAATGCGGGGTGACTTTGTCCTCAACACATTCGGCGATGTCTGGAGACATTTTGGTCTGTCACAAGTGGACAGGGGTGCTACTGGCATCTCAAGAGTGGCCAGAGACACTGATAAACTCCCTACAATGTATAGGAGAGTCCACCCCACACCCACGAAGAATGACCTGTCCCAGGTAGCAATAGCGCTGAGGTCAGCGTGACGGAGCTCCCTCACGGATCTAGTCGGCAGACGACCACTGAGAAATGCTCTGTGCCGGGGACACAGGAATGCTCCGTGCGCCAGCCTAGGTGTCCGCTGGCCTCAAGTCACTCACAGCCCAGAGGGGAGGCAGGCCCAGTGCAGAACCACAGCCTGGGCTGGGCCTCATTGGTACTGTGGGGCCTGTGGCCAGCTACTTGGGAAAGGGTGGGGCTTCCAGAGGGCGGCCCTGAAAGGGGCAGAGACATGTTGGAGGGACAGCATGTGCCGTGCTGGGGACGGGCGCACGGAACCCCGTTGTCGATGAGAGCGAAGCCAGGAGGGGGCAGCTGTGGGCGAGGCCTGTCCTGTCTGACGTCTGGAAGGGCTCCGGTGGGGCGGAGAGCATCTGCCAGCAGGCGGGGGTGCCCCCAACCGCTCCACGAAGTGCGCGTTCCTCCGCAAGGTGCAGGTCACCCCGGGGCTTTGCGCTGGCACGTGTGCGGCCCCAGTGGCGGGGCCTGGCTGGTGCCGTCGGGTGGTGGGACCGGCAGAGGCGGCTGGGCCCTGCCGGGCCCTCGCTGACGGGCCCAGCCAGCAGTGCCCCGTGCCGGGCAGAACCCACTCAGCCAGTCAGCTGACACTCAGGAAGGGCCGGCGTGCACTGCTGCTCTGGGCCCTGGCCGGGGCACTGCAGGGGGCAGACCTGGAACTTCCCTTCTAGAGGGGAGACAAGCGGCAATCATAAGTGAGCAAATTACATAGTGGCTTTGACAGTGGTAAATGTCATGGGGGGAAATAAGCTGTGGGGCCTGGGGGAGCAAGTGGGCGGGTTAACGTGTTCAGCCGGGTGGGCGGGCTGGGCCTCACTGTGCAGGTAGCACCCGAGCAGTCTGATGGGTGAGGAGCGAACCGTGCAAACCCAAGGGAAGAACACCCCAGGCAGGGGAACAGCGAGTGCAAAGGCCCCGTGGCGCGCACATGCCAGGAGCCGGTGTAGCTGGAACCGAGGAGCCAAAGGGCAGACCAGCGGGGCCTTGGGGGCCATGGCGGGGCCTTGGCTGTTGCACCGAGGGCTGTGGGGGCCGCTGGAGGGTTTGAACAGAGTGTGATCCGATCCTGCTGTTTAAAAGGTTCTCTGGTGGCGGCTGTGTGACTCAGTTTTGGGGGTGAGGGCGGGAAAGGGGGACCAGTGAGGAGGCTGTTGCCATAATTGAGATGAGAGCTTGTGACTTGGACCAGGTGGCGGCAGTGGCGAAAAGTGGCTGGTTCTGGATGTACTCTCTGAAGGTAGAGCCAAAAACAGGACTTGGGACAGGTTCCGTGCAAGAAAGGAAAGACAAGGTGGACACCCCCCAAGGGATAGGTCTGGGCCGCTGGAGGATGGCCTTGCACCCTGGGGCTGTGCAACGGGGGCTGTGCGACGGCGGCCCTGCGGCCGTGAAGCAGGCTGGGGCGGGCAGCGGGGGCAGGGCGGTGTCGGGCTTCAGTTCATACCCGTTCGTTTGAGTTACCATCCCAGTAGAGAGTGAGCCCGGCAAAGGTGTGTGCTGGAGCGATGCTTGGAGAGTCACCGGCTTATCCAGGGCCCTCGAGGTGCAGAGTGAGCGGGAGGAGAGAGGCGTGTGCAGGCACAGTGCCCCCGGGCAGCAGGGTTCCCAGCTTCGGAGGAGTAGAACCAGGGAGGGAAGCTGAGGAGGAGCGGCGAGCCAGACAGGAGGCCCGGGAGGGCACAGGGACCTGGAGCCGGGTGCTGATGGGTCAGCAAGACGAGGGCTCAGCACACAGCAGTGTGTGACCTTGGCACAGACCGTTGACCCTGACAGGAAGGGCCTAGAGGAGTGAACACAGAATAGACGGCTCCTTCAGGCAGTTTGCTGAAGGGGGCGGCGGAGCCCAGAGGAAGGGTCGGGCAGGAGAACATGGCCGTGTGCCTGTGGAAAGAAGAGGCCAGAGCTGAGGCCACAGGAGAGAGGGCACTTGCTGGGGGACCCCCTGCGTGGGAGTGAGGGGCTGGCACCTGCGGGCACGGACAGGTGCAGAGGCAGGGCCGGGTGGCTGTGTGAGTGGCTCGGCTGCCCTCAGAGCTGTCCCGGCGGAGAGGCGATGTGTTTGAGCAGCTGCAGAGCGCCTGCCTGGCTTGCCCACGGCCC